ATCTATCAAGGGTCAAATATCTGGGTATGTTGGGACAATTTAGGAAATTACTTAAGTGGGTGATCATAGTGATAGGATCAACCCTTTTGTTTGACGAAGTGAATATTAGGATTTAGGCCATGTTTGGGAGTGCTTAAAAATAAGGGCTTATTTGTGTGGGACCACACCATTAAGCACTTTTTGGTGTTTGGGAAATAAGCCCGAAATAAGTGCTTATTTTTTTAAGCCYAAATTTCCATTTTTTAAGTGCTTAAACAATAAGCAATTATTCGATTTTTTTTTCTACCAAAACTGTCCCCATTTACTCATACCGTCTTCCTTTGTACAACCAATTACTTTCCCTTCTATCTCCTTTGCAACTCTTTTTCTTTTCCGATTTTTCACGACTTAAACTTCAAAACTCCCACACGACGACGACAACCACCACGAGAGAGGAAAGCCCAACGATGAATACTTTACCGCCATCCCCCCCATCTCCAACATTGTTTGCCGCAATTTCTACATGGAACAAACCCTCCAGAAGGTGCAAATTAATGTCACTTCCGAACTCATCTTTCGAGTCCTTAGGAGCTATGGTAAGTGTGGAATTTCATAGAGATACCAATACGGTTAAGTAATTGATAATTGATAGGGAAGGAATAGGCAAAACATCACATGTTAGTTGAGTGATTGAACAACAGAATGGTAGAGAAAGAAACGAACATCAAAGAGGTATATCTCCACCCCATTTTGTTGCCTTCAGCTATGCTTGGATCCAATTTGTATTGGTAATGTTTGCTGGAACTGTTGTTGCCAAGCTATTTTGTTTTCGTCCTGGAGAAGACGATGAACAGTATATTGCTTTGTTTTGTGATGGATGACAACGGATATTGAACTTAAACCTCTTTTTGTGAAGAAACTAAACTGAGCTAATAGGGGGTATTTAGACATGTCTCCTCCTCCTCTTGGTTGAGGCAGCAAAACAAGTGTAGTGAGAAATGGATGATTAGGTTTCGGGGAGTGAAGAAAGGAGATACGACTAGGACTTGTGAGAACGGTTCCAGGCGATGAGAAACCGCCCAAAAAAATGGGACTATTGAATATGATCCTTTGCATGGGATCGGGTTGTTGAAGTCTTTAACCGTATGAGAGAGAGCCCACCGCCCACAAGGTATATTTTGAAAATTTGAAAGAAAATGAAGGGCAAAATATTCACAAGTGCTTATTGGAGAAAAAGGTTGCCAAATGCTCAATATGAAATAAGTGCTTTTTTTTTTTAAATAAGCACTTGAATAAGTTGGGTGTTAAATGCAAATAAATGCTTATTGGAATAAGCACTTGTTTTATTATTCAATAAGCACTTATTTTTAACACAAGCACTCCTAAACATGGCCTTACACTTTCTTTGATGGAAACCTAAACTGTCGGCAGTGGATTTCAACTATATTTGAAATCTGATTTGCAAAAATGTATTTATATGTTATATTATTATTTTATGAAAAAAGGTTTGCAAAAGGTTTTATTCTTGGGATCCATCTGAGCAAAGAGTGTGACATTGCATTTTGTAGTCAGGGAAGAGGTTCTTCCCTGTGGGTAGTGTTTTGATGATTATGGGCTGAAAGCTTAGGTGTAAGAGACCATTATGGGGTTGATTACCTGATCGACTTTATGTGTAAATATTGGGCCCAAATTGAGCCCAAGTTGATTGGGTCTAGGGTTAACTACCCCCGAGTAGTGAATTTGGCCTAACCTCTTCCAGAGGTGGGGCTGAACCCTTATGGACTTGTGTGAGGCCTTTGTGGGTCCAACGCCATACAATATTCAGGCCAAAAGTGTCCATGCAACACCTTTAGACGTGAACCATTAAAGAAAATAGGCCAAGGTCCATACTAATATGATTAGTTAAGTTGTCATGTGATTTGGGTTGAAAATTGGTATAGATTTGGGTATAGAGCACCCATTCTCTTAAGAAGATAATGCATATCAATTAAAGATAAAGTCCTAATCTAAATTTGATTTGGATCAGCTCCTAATTAGATTAGGAGTGTGCTCTATATAAGGGGCTAAGAGGGGAGCTACAATTTAACCCAGTTCTCTCTAATCTCTTGCTCTCTTCTCTTCTCTCTTGCCTCTCAGAAATCCTAATTCGACCCAATAGTGATAGGGGCTGATTTCCATCAGTTCCCTATTGTGTTTTTGCAAGAAAAGCATTAGAGGATATTGGGTTCATACACCCACGTTGGTCCAAGCAAGTTGGGAATCGGTTTTTCTGAAACGGTGTTGCTGAATCAGCTTCACATACACACTCGCCATCTTCAGTTGGAGGCTGATTTTGGGATTGATATTGGGCGTGAACTACCACTTTAAGAGCTGCACACTATGGTCTCCATATCAGGTATAATCAGTTTTAATTTGGGTTTCAAATTTGGTTTGGTTCAATGCAAGATTGATCTCAAAATTTGAGATTTCCAAATGGTTAGGAAATCGGTTCTCGGGTTTGGTTAGAAAAATTTAAAAATTCAGCCATCCACTAAACCTGATCCGGCCTTGTAAAATCTGATTTCTAACCCTTCCAACAATTTGATCATATGTAATTTATTCCTTATGCTCAAAACCCCATTACAAACCAGCCAAAGCAACTATTGTCTTGTTACACCCTGTTTAGTCTAAGAGTTAGCAAATCCGTACAAACTCCTTCTGACCCACTTAAATTCAGCCCCTATGCCTTTTGCAATCTTAGCCACTTCCCTCATCACATCTCAAAGTCCAAGGGATATGCCTTTGTCTTGTGTCAGACCGTGACATGCTTGTGTTTTCCCATGAAATGATTACTTTTGAATCCCTTCAGCCTCCATTAACCTGTAGCCTAGTTGTTTGTCTAATGTAAGGCCTTGCAAAAGATCCATCAGTTAGCCTTTACTAAGTTTTTCAAACCAATCGGTCCTGAAAATAATGCCAGAATCCTTCCCTCAAAATTTCTTATTACCCCACCTATTCTTGCCCTTCCTGGATTTCCTATGGAGCTTCCATCAAAGTTCAGGTTAACTTTGTTGCCTTCTAGAGGTTTCCATTCCACTCTTACTCTAAACTTCTTGATGAATGAGATACTTGAGTCCAAGTTCTTAAGATGTTAATGATAGAAAATGTTTGAAAGCAATCCGCGGTCTTTACCCATAAATCTGCCTTAATTTTTTTGCTATCTATCACATCCTCTAAGCTCTTGCTCTTTTTAGAGAATATCCTATTCTCCCCAAACCACCCAACAGATTGCTGCTTCATTGACTCTCCATTGCACTTTTCCTCTTTTCTTTGGTTGCCTTAAGAAGTTGGGATTGAAGATGCCCACTACATCTTATGGGGGGACCTGCTTGCATCCAAAGAGAGTGGAAAAAACACCCAGATTCTTTGCATAAAAGGACAGGATAATGATAAATGGGATAAGGTCTCACCACTACCCCTGCATAAGAAGCACATATGAGGAGAAAGGAAAATCAAAGACCTTCTCTCTACACATTATCACAAGTATTTACCTTACCAAGAAAGATTTCCCAATAGAAAGCTTGAATTTTAGGTGGGATAAGCTTACTCCAAATTTCTTTCAATAGGAAGTCCACCCTTTGAGAGTTAGGCGAGACAAGGAGTTTGAAAAAGGAAGAGCAAGTGAATAAACCATTGGGAGAAGCCAAGCAAACTCTAAAGTCCTCAAGGGACGGGTCCATGTGAACTTGCCTTAGATTGTCTAGCAGATGGATCAAAGAAGGGCATTCATTTCCCCCAAACCTCTTCTAAACCCTAGGTTCCAATTCATCCCAGTTGGAGAAGGTGATCCYGTTCTAGATATAGTCTCTCCATTTAAAAGCGAAAGGGAGAAGATCCCAGGGAATTGGTCTTTAAGTGGAGTATCCCCTATCCATAAATCTTCCCAAAACCATATTTTATTCCCCCTTCCTTCCCACATCAAATCAAGTAGAGTTGAAAAATGATTAAACCTCATGAATTGCTTTCCAATGAGAAGCCGAGGAAGAGTGAGGGGTTAGTTTAGCATCCTGGCCAATTCTTTCCGGCCTATGAATGCTTACAATTTTGTGTCAAAGCCTATTGCTTTCAAAATGAAATCTTCATAACCACTTACCTAGTAGAGCAGTGTTTCTCAAAGCTATGTTTCCTATTCCTAGGACCCTCTTTTCCTTAGGCTTACTAACCTGTTCCCATTTGGCTAGGTGATCCTTTCTGTCCTCTCTTGGTTTCCAACGGAAGTCTCTCATGTATTTCTCTAATTGCCCCGCTATCCTCACAGGGAATTGAAAGGTGGAGATAAAATATGTGGGGAGATTCACAGTGTGGCTCTAATTAATGTAATTCTTCCTCCTAGAGAGATATAATTCAGTTTGACATGACCACACCAAGCATATTGAGTTGGACTATCATTTTTTATCAAGGAGAAAATTGAAGCCCAAGAAGTTTGTCTTTCTTTTATGAAGACTACTTACCAGCCAGCTGATTTCTTAACGAAAGGAGTTCTAAAAACAAAATCAGAGGCGATTCTTGACAAGTTGAGCATGAATGATGTCTATGTTCACTTGAGGAGGAGAGTAGAGAAATATAATGGGCAGAAGAGGGACATAAGAGATATGGGGGGGGGGGTAAATATGTAGTTTCACATTTTCTACTTAACCTAACAATAATGTTGAATACGCAGATTGTTGAACTCAATATGTAGTTTCACATCTTCTTCTTCTCTCTAATTACTGGTTCTCAGATCTGCAAAATGGCCAACTTCTTTATTATATGTTGATACTGCACTTACTTGTCCATTGTCAGTTCTGCTGCTTGTATGAAGTAATTATTTTTTGGGTTGAAAAAGGGCAGGGACCCTTGATAAGTTTTGCTTTGTCATTTTCCTTGTATGTTAACCCCCTCCATCCCCCACATACACACATAGACAAAAGTAAGAATGTGTTTTATCTGTTTATCTTTTTTGGTAGTGGTGGGTCTGATTGTTGTCTCGATCTTTTTTCCAGGGACGTATTCCCAAGCCATGTAAAATTATTTGTCCACAATGACGCTGTGGCAGCTCTAGCAAGTGGGACAATGGGGAACCTTCATGGCTGTGTATTAATTGCAGGTACAGGAACAATCTCTTATGGGTTCACCGAAGATGGGAGAGAAGCTCGAGCTGCTGGTGCTGGACCTATCTTAGGCGATTTGGGGAGGTATATCTTTGCTAGTATGGAGGAGCCAGAGTTCTAATTCTGCCAACCTAATCGCTTCATTTGTGTGTGCTAGAGACATGATAGCTTTTTCAATTCCTTTTTTACCTCATCAGTTAAGACTAGTTTTTCAAAATCTGGGCAGGACCAGATTGTAAACCTGTTCACACTGCAAAATGGTCAGTGGAAAAGGTTGGTTCAACCTTGATCTGTCCCTTGGTCAACCTCTATTCAGGCTTTGGTTTCTGTATAGGAGCCATTTACTTGGTGCTTTTAATAGTTTTCTTTGATGATTGTTTCTTTGACTTGTGATGGTTTTCGGTTTTTTTTGATAAGTAAAAGATCATTAAATTTCATTGAAAACAATAATGATAGGCACTGTTACAAGCATCCCAAAGGGAGGGGCAAAATGCAGCCTCACTATTAATTCAGAGCTCACACTGTAATTACAATTGCACCCAATACAACTGGTCCCTAATTACCCCTTGCTTTGCTAAAGCATCAGCCAATGCATTTGCCTCCCTTCCCACCCATTGTATACTTGGATTCATCTGTTTTGTTAACCACTGGAATTTCTTCAATTCATTTCTATAACAGCAAATCACTGAGTCTGGATTTCTTAGCGAACCTACCACCACCACCTTGGAGTCCCTTTCAATCACCAGGTTCTCCAAATTCATGTCTTTTGCAATTTGAACACCTTGTCAAATTGCAAACCATTCAGCCTTTAAAGAGTCTCCAACCCCCACTGGTCCTGAGTAAAGTGCTAGTATAAACCCTTTCTTATCTCTTATGACTCCAATTTCCGAAGGACCTGGATTGCCTTGACTGCTCCTATCAAAGTTTAATTTCAGGAAACCTTCAAGAGGAGGCGTCACACTGACCTTGTTTTATTTTTTGAAGTTTTGGATGTTACATATAGATGGTTGAACTGCTAATCCATTAACTGGCTGGTTCAGTATTTAGTTCATTTTTCAAAAGATATGGTAAAGTTTAATCTAATAGCTAATAGATTGCTGGATAATCTGTATGTGTTGTAATACATAGAATACATTCCACAGGGGCATTACTGTCATTTAACATTATTTTGACTCTCTTAATATATAATAACAAGAGTGGGCTCTGCCACTCAATTTTGGCTCTCAAAACTTATGCTGTTTTTCTTCATTTCTCTTTCTCCTGTTTTTCTCCAATTGATCTACTGTATGAAACATTGTATCATAGCAAAAACTGTTTTAGATCCCTTGTTTCTTCTGTTTTCTCCTTTTTCTTCTATATTTCTTAAGACTGGAGAAAACCCTTCTGCCCTGATCGATTCCAAGGACAACACTTTTTCTTATTCTCTCTTGGTTGTATGATTGACTGCTGCTTAACTGCTGGACATTCTGCTACATGGTGTATGGTGCAAAGATTGGAAAGTAGATTGGTTGGAAGAGGGCCCCTGTGCTGAACTGTTTCAACAGTTTGTGTTCCAAACAGTTTATTTAATGTTATGGTTGTGCCTAGAATTCTTTGTTGCGACCCGCTTCATGAATCCACTCTGAATTATGTTGAGAAAAACCCAAAGGCAAATACTCATAAAAAAACCCGAAGGCAAAATTTCATAGTGGTTTGTGGTGGAAACGTCCGATCCATATTCAGCTTGTGGGTCCGAACCGAAGTGTTATGTTTCTCTCTTGTATTCTTTTGTCTTTGTCTTGTGAGAGAAGTCGAGAGACTTTGGGTGTATTTGGGGTTTAGGGTTTTCTGTGAGTGAGGTAGTGAGTGCACAGTTTTGTATTCTTTTCCATTGCTGATTTCATAGTAGATTTCTGCTCCACCCGTGGACATAGGCTATAAGCCGAACCACGTAAATTTGTGTTCATCTCTGTTTACTTATCTTTATCTCTGTTTTTCTTTCGTTTTCTGGGTGCCATTCGAATATGCATTCATGGGTTTTGCTCAACATTTAATGTTGGCTGTGATCTAAATGTTACAATGGGTCTTTTCCTTTTGTTTATCCCTTTGTATGAACTAGCAGTGGTGTTAGGGGTGCTGTTACAGACCTGGGCTTTCATTTTTGGGTTAGTGTGAACCAGTAAACGATAAAGTTGTTATTTGCATTTCTTATTTCTTTCTGTGGTTCATATGAACATTTTAAACGAGACAGAAGTGGTGACTGTGTGTAGTGACAACAGTGGTAATTGTTTTTTTCTTTCCTTTGAGGGTCTGTGTGACTCCTATCATAGTTTTCAAGGCAGCGCCTAGGCGATAAGGCACTCATGGAGGCTCACCTCATTTAATGGCCAAGATATTTTTTACATGGTGCTCTTGGATGCTTTTATATTCTTAACCTTTTATGATTATAATAATAAAACACATTATTAAAGTAAATTATTAAATGCTAGTTCCTTTTTATTATTTTCTTATTTATTACGGTTCAAACATGTATACTGTCTTGAGCCCTCGAAGAGTTCAAAACTTGAATTAATAAGCAAGGAAAAACTCAAAATTTTGTCCAATCAACACATTGATCTTCTTCTTCTTCTTCTTCTTCTTCTTTCATAATTTATTTTCTTCTTTTCCTAGGACAAAAATAGATGCTCCATCCCCCCTCTATTTTCTGAAATTTCTTTTCTTTCTTCCATGTTATCATGAATATATTGATTTTCTATGTTTTGAATGAAGTTTATACTTTATACATTTTTTATGAAGATTATAGACACTTAATAGTGAAAGATGGTTGCTGCTTGCTATGGAACCTGGGGAATTACCCTAGGATTTGTTGTTTTGTTCAAAAAAAAAAAATCAATTGCTTTGGTGCCCCTAGGTGCCTGGTGCCTGCCAAGGCAACTAGGTGACAAGGCACCCCCTTGTTGCCTTCAAAACTGTGACTCTTATTGAGGATGACAGTAGCGTTGGTGCTGGATTTTTTGGACTTTTTTTTCCCTTTTACTGATTGTGACCCCCCTAGGGGAAGGCCTAAATCTCATTGCTTGTTGGTGAGTTATGCTATAGATGACTCAGTCACATCTAGAATTTCAGGAGTGGTAAATTATAATTTTGGTAGTGTTTCTGAAAGTATGAACATTTAATTATCTACACCCATGGATGGTCTAGATTACTTGAAATTGGCCAAATCAGTCCAACTGTTTGTAGGTGGAAGGAGAGGACTAGGATATCTGAATGAAAAAAATAAAAGAACAAGAAGAGATTCCAAGACATGGCAAATAGGAACAAGACAATTATATGATCATATTTTCGCTGTTATCTTCTATGYAACTTGCGTTATGAAAGAACTTTATGTGGGATGAAACAGCCCTGGAAATCTAGGATCACACCAAACTATGTACTTAGAACAGATATATTTTGAACGGGTATATTAACTTCAAGTTGAGTTGTCCTCAGCAGAGAGTATTTGCCTTTTTGGCTGGTTTGAGCCCAGTATATGAGTCAATTCAGCTATAGATTTTGGGTAGTAGCGACTTTCTCAGTCTTCAGGAGGTGTATGCTCTTGTCCAATATGAAGAGAGTAGGCCCATGGCTATGAATATTTTTAGGACTGAAGCAAATTGTGACCCTTGCTACAAGAAGTGGGAGTAAGAAGGTTGAAGTGAATATGATGAAGGGATGAGAGATCCATCATATGGATGRCCGAACCTTGCAGGAAGGTTGGGCTAATTTTCAAAAATTTCTCTCTCCCATGTGGGAATCACATTCCCTGTTTTAGAAAACTGCATTTTCAAGGATCAATCTTGAACCTAAACCAGACCAGATCTGAAACCAAAAAGGGAGTGGAGGGTTTATACCTGATACGAAGTAACAATAACCTCCAATGAAGGTGTTCACGCCCAAGGAAAGATCCAAAGACTGCTTCCACCGAAGATGACACGGTGTAGGATGAAGCAGAATTAGTAGGATGGCTCTTTAGCAAGAACCTGATTTTTCAGCAAGAATCTGATCAAGGGCTAGTGAGCACGACTTCTGATTACCTTTTCTGCCAAAAGGTAATATCAAGAACACTTCTTGATCACTCCCACAGGTGGAGATGGAACTGGTATGGCGGCAGGAGCAGGAAAGAGTAGAAGACAAGAGTAGTCGAACTGCAGGTTCTTCTCTCTCTTTAATCTCTGAACTGAGAATTGTGCATTGGAGGCTCTCCCTGCTCCTCTATTTATAGCCTTTAAAAAGAGCATCTCCTAATCTCATTAGGAGTTTCCTAATCCAAATCTTGTATTTGGATTTGGACTCTCTTTAAGAGATAAGGATAATCCCTTATCTTATCTGCAG